ATGGGGACAAGGATGAGGGCAGGAATGGGGACAGCAATGGGGACAGAGATGGGACTGGAGAAAAGGATGGGGACAAGGGTGGGGACAGGGATGGGGACACGGATGGGGATGGGGACAGGGATGGGGACAGGGATGGGACTGGAGGTGGCGCCTGGGGCTGGAAATGGGGATGGGGACAGACACCAGCGCTGACACGGGAGCAGGACTGGGGACAAGGACAGGGACCAGTGACAAAGATGGGGACAGCCCAGCACCCTGCTTCAGCGGGGGATTAAACACCCACGGGACCCCCGATCCCAAAACCGCCCCATTCCCGGGAAGCTCCAGCTCCACATCCCAAAGCCCCATCCCTGCGGCCGTGGCCAGGTCTGGTGGCGAGGTGGCCGCAGAGTGACCTCTAATGGCAGCGGGGACACGGCCAGAGGGGACACGGCCAGAGGGGACACCGCCAGCTGCCACCATCAAGCAGAGTCCCCAGCCCCAGGTCCCCTCACCCCAGGCACCGAGGGGACATGGGTGGCTTGGGACACGAGTGGATCGGGACCCCCGTGTCCCCCTCTCCAAGGGGACACCGGGATGGATGGCAGGGAAAAGGGACAGCTGGTGACAAACAGGACGTTCCCAGCACCGGGAGGTTGGATTTTATTCTTGTCCCGGGATTTCCCAGCCCGGAGGTGTCACTGGTGGCGCCTGGCACGTGAGGTGGTGACAAGGGTCCATCGGGAAGGGACAAAGGGCTGGAATGGGGCTGGGGGATCCCCGGGGGAGTCCCTGGATCCAGCCAGGAATGGGAAATTCCAGCGGCCACAGCCGGCCTGGCGTCCAAGAGCCAGCGGGTCAGGATGCTCCATCCATCTGGAAAAGGGTGGGAGAGGCTGGGGACATCCTGTCCGTGTCTGGGGGCACCCTGCCCATGTCTGGGGACATTCTGTCCATGACTGGGGACACTTTGTCTGTGTCTGGGGACATTCTGTCCATGGTTGGGGACACCATGCCTGTGTCTGGGGACATTCTGTCCATGGCTGGGGACACCCTGCCCATGGCTGGGGACATTCTGTCCATGGCTGGGGACACCTTGTCTGTGTCTGGGGACACCCTGCCCACGGCTGGGGACACTCCATGGGGACAGAGGACATCCCGGGAGGGGCTGCCATCCCTCTGTGCCATGGAGCCCCTCTGGAATGAGGCTGGGTGGGAATTTTGGGTCCCCACATGGCTCTGTCCCTCCTGTCCCTGTGACAGTGACAGCCACGGCAGTGGTGGCACCACGGGGCCGCCAGGCCGGGCCGGATCCCGAATCCACATCCCATTCCCACAGCGGGGAAAGGACCCCCCGAGAGCCCAGGGGACCCCAGGGCTGTCCCCACTGATGTCCCCAGGGCTGTCCCCACTGATGTCCCCACCTGTGGCAGGTCCTGTTTGCTCCTCAGCTCCAGGGTGTCCTCGGCACGGGACCAGCTCCGGAACTTCCTGATCCTGGCAGGGAGCACAGGGAGCTGCCACCACCCCGGGGTCCTTGTCACTGTGCCAGGGTCACCGTCCCACCACCCCGGGGTCCTCGTCACCGTGCCGGGGTCACTATCCCACCACCCCGGGGTCCTTGTCACCGTGCCAGGGTCACCGTCCCACCACCCTGGAGTCCTTGTCACCGTGCCAGGGTCACTGTCCCACCACCCCGGGGTCCTTGTCACCGTGCCAGGGTCACCGTCCCACCACCCTGGAGTCCTTGTCACCGTGCCAGGGTCACCGTCCCACCACCCCAAGGTCCCTGTCACTGTGCCAGGGTCACCTTCCCACCACCGAGGTGTCCTTGTCACCGTGCCAGGGTCCTTGTGCCACCTGGGGTCCTTGTCCCTCCATCCCAGAGTCCCTGTCCCACCATGGGGTCACTGTCCCCTGACTCTGGGATCCCTGTGCCACCCTGGGGTCCCTGTTCCCCCACCCTTGGGGTCCTTTCCATGACATTGGGGTCCCTGTCCCTACACCAAGACCCTTGTCCTGATGCCAGGGTCCTTGTCCCTTGACCCCATGGTCCCTGTCCTCCCCTGGGGTCCCTGTCCCCCCACCCCAGGGTCCTTGTGCCACCATCTCAGTGTCCCTGTCCCCTGATCCTGTGGTCCCTGTGCCACCCTGGGGTCCCTGTCCCCCTCTGGGGTCCCTGTTCACCCACCCCAGGGTCCCTGTGCCATCTTGGTGTCCCTGTCCCCCATCCCAGGGTCCCTGTGCCATCTTGGTGTCCCTGTCCCCCATCCCAGGGTCCCTGTGCCATCTTGGTGTCCCTGACCACCATCCCAGGGTCCCTGTGCCACCCTGGGGTCCCTGTGCCACCCTGGGGTCCCTGTGCCACCCCGGTGTCCCTGTCCCCCCACGCTGCCCCATCCAGGACGTCACCTGGGCCACACCTTCACGGCCAGCAGGGCCACGATGGCGATGGCCACGATGGCCACGAGGAGCCCGGACAGGACGCGGAAGGTCCACAGGTGGCTGAGAGCTGGGGACAGAGGTGGGGTCAGTGCCAGCAGGACCCCCCAGACCTCGGGGCGCCCCGAAAGGGGTGAAGGGGACCCTGGGGTGACAAAATGGGGGACAGGCAGGCAGCATTTGGGGTGAAGACACACGTGGGGGCAAGTCACAGCTGCCACTGTCCCCTGTCCTAAAGGCCACCCTGTTGTGGGCAGGAGATGTCCCCAACACAGCCACCAGTGCCACCCTCCTATTTTGCCCTCTGACCCATTCCATTGTCCCATCCCCTTCCCCACTTCCAGGGAATTTTTTTAGGATTTCCACGCCCCCGTTGAAGGTCCGGCCCCACTCACTGTGGACGTCGAGGTCAGCGCTGGCCGTGGCGTTGCCCAGCGCGTTGGTGGCCACGCAGACGTAGCGTCCCCCGGCCCCCGTCCCTGCGGCCACCAGCTCCACGCGCAGGGCGTTGTGTGAGGGGGTGGCCCGGACCCCGGGGGTGACAGCGGGGGACAGGCTGGTGGCCAGGAGGTGGCCACGGTGGTGCAGGGCCAGCCAGGAGGGCGGGTGGCTCTGGGCTGTGCACAGCACGATGGCCCCGCGCCCGTTCTGGTTCTCCAGGAAGGTGCTCACCGAGATGGCCCGAGGAGGGTCTGTGAGGGGACAGCCAGGGTGGCAGTGGGGACACGGGTGGGGACAGCCCCCAGCTGGCCTGGGTGGCCACCAGAAGTGGTTTAAAGTGGCCCTGGATTTGTCCCACTCCGCTCGTCCCGGAGCCGGGGGATTCAAACCCTCTCTGGTGTTTGTCGTGCCACCCCCAAGCTGGAGAATCTTCCTGATTTGGAGCTTCTGGGCTCCGAATCTGATTTTTGAGGGGCAATCCTAAAAAAAACCCCAAATCCCTTTCCCAAAAGTTTCCTAACGCATCCCTGCTCCCGCCTGGATGACCGTCACACCCTCTCCAGCCCTTTGCTCCACCTCCAGCTGCAGAACCCCTCAGCTTGGAGCTTTTTGGCTCCAAAGCCAACTTCTGAAGGATCAATCCTAAAAAAACCCAAAATCCCCTTCCCCAGGTCACCAAGAACTTCCTAACTCATCCCTTCTCCATCCTGCATCATC